TTATTGTGTATAACATTTTTCCATTTCATGAATTTTTCAACTGTTATTTTTCATATGTAGGTTGGACAAACAAGGTATTAATGCTTTTTTCCCAAAATGATATAAAACTATAACATCTATAAATGTCGAATTCTTTTTTTTTATTATTAAATATTGGTGCTACTGATGCCACGAACATCCCATCGAAGAGTAATGAGGAGAGGATATATTTTTTCCTAGAGGACTTGCAGAGGTACTGCCCTGCATTTGCGTATCGTGTGGGAGAAAAATGTAAAGATCTCCCATCAGGCAGTGTGATAATTGAAGCAAAGCACTTTACACACGTTGTCGCAATAACTATCGAGTCTCCTCTTTTCTGAATTGTTTTATGCAATCATTTTTTTATCAAATGAATTTAAAAATTAAGTTAGATTTATATTTTTGTTGTAACTATTATGATTTTTACTAATAAATAAATAAAATAACGTTATCATTTATCGTTTACATCAAAAATAAAAATTTTGATAATGATTTTTGTGATAATTTACTAACTTTCTCAACTAATTTTGGGGGTAAACTAACGGGAGGACTTCCAAAATAAAATAATAAACTGCGCGATGTTTATGACTGTAATAATCATGTACCTAGTAATCTGTACGTTGCATGCACGAGACCAGCCTATGTGAGAACAAAAAAAAAAAAAAAAAAAAAAAAAAAAAAAGAAGGAAATCCCTTCCCTTTTAAAATCGTTATAATAAACCTTTACTAAGTTAGCGTATGTAGTTGAATTTTATCCTAGGGAAAAAAAAACTTCTTAAAATTGACTTAAAAAGCCTTTACATAAGTTACCCGCCAATATGAAGTTTATTACGCCGATATTAATTAAGTTTATTAAGCCAATATTAAGGGTATTTTATTCTATGGCAAAAAACCCCTTAATATTGGCGTAATAAACCTTTACATAAGTTCACGTACTATTTACAGTTATATTTTATTCTATAGGGGGGAAAAAAAACAACGATAAATTTAAATTCTGATTTCTATATTTTATGAATGAAATGTGTTTAACATAACGTAATGAATTCCTTGAAATATTTCAACAGCATTGAATTGAAATTTTTAATTAGAAGGAAGCAGGAGGTAAAAAAAAAATGATGAATGATTATTTGATAGTCATATAAGCATTATACAAAAATAATTATATAAGTATATATATGTAAAAATATAAGTATTTACTTATAATCATGTAAGTATTATACAAACATAATTATATAAGTATATATATGTAATAATATAAATATATATTTATAATTATACAAACGATTGAATAATAATGATGAATTTAATGATTAACTATTTTAATTTCAAGGAAATAGAAGCAAGCTATTATGTCATATCACATGATTGCTTAGTATCATCACACCACCAGATAGCGCGATATTTTAGTCTGGATGAAATCGCAATTTAAACATTAAAAAAAAAAAATAAATAAATAAATAAAATAAAATAAAAAAAATAAGATTTTACTTAATTAAAGATAGCTAACGATAATTTTTTTGTAATTGCTTTACTTTGCTCGATATAAAAAAAAAACAATGAAATCTTTGAAAAAGATTGGGACACCAATAATTATAGTTTTTAATAAGAAATACAGATACAGACAGACAAAATTTTCCTTTATATATACAGAGAGAGATTTCATTTAATATTCTGTTTATTAAATGATTTCCGTTTGCAGTAATAAGTAAGTAAATTTTATTACTTTAAAATAGACATTTTTTTTTTTTTTTAAGGTTTATAAAACATTATTTTTAAAATGAGAAATATTTCACTGTGAAAATTAAGATTTTTTTTTTTTCTTATTGGCTATTTTACATTAAAATTGAAATATTTCCAATCATATAATGTCCTATGCGAAAACCACTGATGAATTTCTGAAATAGTACATTATCCATCAGCATAAACCATTAATAATCCACTATCCAACAATATCCATTCATAAGAGATATAGTATTAGCATAATTCCTTCAAACACTTGATCAAACCACATTAGTTGGTAAGCGAAGCATTCACGAGAAAAGTCCTTGTTTATAACAAGAATAAATCGTAAAAAAAATCATAAATCCTAAAAATTAAAATAAATCATTCCTTGTAGTAGGATTTTCTCAATGTGATAAAATTTATAATATTAAGAAAGAAATATACCCGATTCGCGGCTCGGTGGCAACACGCACAGCTGGTGAGCATTAGAGCGGAGGTTCAATCATCTGGCGTCTTTGTTGTAAACACTGTTGTTTGGGATGTTCAGCATTTTGCCTAGTGAGTCAAACTATCTGGTGGGTGTTTTCTGGGGTTTTTCCCATACGAGAAGCAAACGCTGGGTAGTTCCCAATATAAATTCTCCCAGAAGGCACTGCTGTCCTTCAGAGTCACGAAGCCAAGACAGATTTCTATCTACATTTTTTTTCTAATGCAGCTGGCAAATAAGACAGATCTTTATGCCATAAGCAAGGGCTGCACTGACGTTGCTCATTTAAAAATACCCCGGGGGGCACAAGTAACGGACGCGAGTAACACTATTCCCGCAACGCTCTAAGAGCGTATTTGATCGAACTTTCTAAGAGCATATTCCGAACCACTACAAACATCCATGACACCACCGGGACTCGAACACGAAACCTGTCGTACCAGAGCGCCATTAGACCCACTTCTACCTGCAGGTGTTCCATCTCAACAGAAACTGAACTCCCCTTTCCCTCCTTCCATGAGACCACGTGGGTTCTTGGACTTGGTCTAGATGTTGCTGGTGGTGGTGGTGGGGGGGGAAACCACCTGAGAAAATATTTGAATTTTCATAATTTCTAATAACTTCTTATGACCTTCCCAAACCATTAAAATACTTTCTCACCGCTTAAAAGAGTTCGAATTTCCTTAAAATCAAATGGCGTCATGATTTTTAAACCATTGTTCATCGAAAAGTTAACAGAATACAATAAGGTACAACCATGAAATGAGATCTTGAATGGAATCAAAAACACAAAACTGCTTTTAAATTGTTTGTAAATTTAATTGACAGTTCGATAAGTGATTGAAAAGTAGTTTGTGCCCATAAAAATAAAAATCAAAGCAGGCCATTTGGTTAGTAAGCCCTTTGAAGGTCTGCCCATGACCTGAAACTGCTTGAACAAAGAGAAAAGTTTAAACAATTGCTTCTTTTACTTCACTTTCTAAATACATTTTAATCACTGACTTTTCCGAAAAAAAAAATGATGTAATTTTTAGTTTTCTTTCAAAACTATATTTAAAGCTTTCAGTTTAAAAGCAAAATATTTTTTTTTAGTTTCCGCTACAAGGCCAGTTTAACAATTAACCATAGTTGACTGTCTTTACAATTATTCATACTAAATGTAGACAAAATAGATACTCGTTTATTATCTAAACTACAAAACCTTACCATGCAAGTTAATTCAATTCATGGGTTGAACAGAGCTTTAAGATTACTTCTTAGAAGATAGTATTATTAAAATAAAAAATTAATGATTAGATTTTTGTGTAGTCTTTCATAATGATTTCGCGAATACAAAGCGAAAAAAAATTTATATAAATTTAAGTATGTGTGTATGAGAGTATGTTCCTGTATAACTTAAAAACTATAATACATAGTAGGTTTTTTTTTTACTCTGAATTTATTATTTCGTTCTAAAATGTTTTTGCCAAAAATCAAGAGAAAATTTTTATTAATTATTTTGTAATTAACGGAATAACTTATTTTTACATATGATTTTCACGCCATCAAATGGTGTCAACCTTACATACTGACTGGAGCCCTTATTTAAGTTATTGTAAAAAAAAAATAACATAGAAAATTTAGACTATTAATTTTTAATTTAGTTTTTATAACTCGTACTATTATATTCGTAAAAATAAACGCTAACAGATTAAAGGCGAAAAAATTATTGAGAATTCTTGGAGAACCTTTCTTTATTTAACCAATTTATATTAAATACGGCGAGTTTTTTTTTTTTAAATCTCAAACATTTAATTCTGCACAGATTCTTTTTTCATAACAAAATTTATCAAAAATAACAATATTTTATTTTCTGTAACCAGGAAATGCTGTCTTATATCTGTTACCTAACTACTTAACTCCCTGGCACTACAGTCCATGTAGGACCATGGCCGTCTGCCTACTACTACTACTACTATACTATTACACCACACCACATCACTGTGCCTAGAGTTGAGTTGTCCCTATACAGTTTGGGAATGATTTGGGTGAGGGAAGTCTGACTGGGCTCCAATGACTGACTATGACTGTCTGACTGGGCTCCAATGCTGGGACTATGGCCAATGCTCTTACAGTCATATGAGACTAGGACCTACGGCTTAAAGTAGATTCCGAACCATTATAAATATCCATGGCACCACCGGGACTGGAACCCGAAACCTGTGGCACCGAACGCCACTCATTTGGCCATTCATGCCCTGCCGTCTGCCTGCTGTCGGATTCCGAAACATGAGATATTTTCTTTTTATGGTGTAGGACCAGGGCTGGATTTTCCTATAGGCTAACTAGGCTTCAGCCTAGGGCCTCAAGATCAAGAGGGGCCTACATTCAAATTGTTAGCAAAATTAGAATTGCACTATTCTAAAAACAGTAAACACTAAAACATTGAATACAAAAACAAGGAGAAATTCTACACATATGAATAATAAACAAACATAATAAGTAATTTACAAACTTAAAAATGGGAGATGAAAGGGACTCATAAGTGAAATAGCCTAGAGCCTCTTTTCATCTAAATCCGGCCCTGGGTAGGCTTTTCAAATCTATGGCCAATGCTTTACAGTTATATTAGACCGGGACCTGTGGTTTAAAGTGGATTCCGAACCCCTGTCACAGCATGGACTAGAACCCGAAACCTGTGGCACCGAGCGCCAGAGATATATCTGCTACTGCTTTAATATAAAATGCTGATTTTATCACTGCTATTATTATTATTATAAAAAAATACTAGCCAACGGCCATACCATGCTGAATATACCGGTTCTCGTTAGATCACCGAAGTCAAGCATCATTGGGTACCACCAGTACTTGTCACCCACCCAGCACTTGGGTGGGTGACCACCTGGGAACACCGCGTCCCGTTGGCATTCACACATTTGCGACCTGAATGGCCGAGTGTCTGGCGCTCGGTGCCACAGGTTTCGTGTTCGAATCCCGGCGGTGCCATGGATGTTTGTAGTGGTTCGGAATCCACTTTAAGCCGTAGGTCCCGGTCTCCTATGACTGTAAGAGCGTCACGGAGCAAAAGTCAGGCTTCTACCTACGGGTGCTCCATCACAACAGAAGCTGCTTCCTTCCCCTTCAATCATGAGTACGTATGGGCTCGTGGGCTTGGCCAGCCAAGTGGGATAAGAAACAACAACAAACAACATAAAATACTGAGCGACCACTTCGGTATAAAATATCGATGCAGTTTAACAAGTGAGCAGAACATAAAATAAATTTCATGATCTGATGTCAAGCCCGCGGAGTCATTTGCCAGCTTTTAGAAAAGCAGAAATTCTACTCTGCGTGGTGTCGTTTTTAGGTCAGGCATCAAAAGATTTTCAACTCTCGGAAAGACGATTGATGGTTGCTGTTGTTGTTGTTTCTTATCCCACTTGGCTGGCCAAGCCCACGAGCCCATATGTACTCATGAAGGAAGGAGAAGGAAGCAGCTTCTGTTATGATGGAGCACCCGTAGGTAGAAAGTCTGACTTTGGCTCCGTGACGCTCTTACAGTGATAGGAGACCGGGGCCTACGGCTTAAAGTGGATTCCGAACCCCTACAAACATCCATGGCACCGCCGGGATTCGAACCCGAAACCTGTGGCACCGAGCGCTGACACTCGGCCATTCAGGTCGCAAATGTGTGAATGCATACGGTCACGCGGTGTTCCCAGGTGGTCACCCACCCAAGTACTGACCGCGCCCATTGATGCTTGACTTCGGTGATCAAACGAGAACCGGTATATTCAGCATGGTATGGCCGTTGGTGGTTCGTTTGTAAAGGGAAACAACGGGGCTTGTTTTTAGAGCACAAACTGTAGCACCGAGGAATAGATGAATGTTCGTTTAACATTACAAATATGTACGCAGCTTTACATGCGAGCTTCCAGTTGCCTTTCGGAAAGGCCGTAAATCTTACGATGTGTGACTAAAAATGGACACCATATTGGACGAAATTCCTGTTGGCAGACTAGTCCATATGCGTTTCGAATTCCATCCAAGCTACAGCAACTACTTTGATGTGTTATACTCATATCTTTCTATCTCAAATCTGTACGCAGTTTTACACGCAAAGGACTAAATTTTGGCGGTTAATGAATGAATATTGCTATTGAACATCCAGATGGAGAGTAAAAAGGGAAAATAACCATTCCAGGGTATAACTATTCCAATTTGATTCCTTCTGCTGACTTACCAACGCTTTGCATACGAGCTTATGCACATGTAATCATATATCACTATTCACGAGCATCATATGTTTTAGTATAAACATCATCATAAATCATTTAGCGTCATGTGTTTTAGCATATAGCATCATATGTCTTAGCATAGAGAATCATATATCATATATCATTGAGCATCATATGCTTTAGCATATAGCATCATCATATATCATTTAGCATCTATATGTTCTTCAGTATTAGGTTGGCCTGAGAAACACAGTGAAGCAGCAGAGTCTGCAAGATCTTTTCACGAAAGTTTATAAAGGTGGGTTCCCATGACATAATATACCAGCCAATCGGTCTGAATGGGTAGATCAGGCTTCCAATTGACTGACATTCAGCAAAAGGAGATTTTAGAATCTCTTGGACCTTAAAAGAGATCAGATTCCCCGATTATTTTGAAAAGTGTAAGAAAATTAAATTGGTATTTGATTTTGTTGTATATGATGTCGGGATGTTGTTTTGATGTCGGGCACTTTGATCTGAGGCTATTTTCTTTTAGAATCTAGACCTATATCAGATTCAGCATAGATTCAGATTCAGATTTCATAGGGTGCACCCTCAGAAAATTGCTGTGATGTATGAATTTTTCTTACATGCACAAATAAATCTTAACTTACAAAATTGAATATGAAATATTATGTTAAAATAAATTACTGAATAAATATATTATCTGTGAGTATGTTTGATTAAGAGTTCAATGATTTCAGAATTCTATTTTGAAAATCTTTTCAACAAATAGATCTTTTTATTAAAAAAAAAAAAATTTTTTTTTCATCGAATGATAAAGGCAGAAAAAAAACCCATTTTGGAAACAGTTTTCTATAAACTTCATTACATTGATATAGAAATAGTTTGAAAATGATATATAAAGAAACAACAAGGAACGACGAAAATAAATTGCCTTGTGACAAATTGTTATAAAACTCGAATAAACCTTCAAACCGTCTTGTTTATCTCTGAGCATTTGAACGATTCTTTTGAACAAGGTTAAAAAGAACAATTCCTCAGCAGCTATTCATCACAAAAACTGAAGCAATTTCATGAACTACTGATGAAGAACAATTTAATTATTATTATTTTTATATATATACTTTCACTTTGGTCAGTGAAACGAAAAGAAAAAAAAAAAAAGAAAAATTGCTACAGAGAAAGCACACGCGAACACGATAACTGCCATTATACTCCAACATAATTCTTTAACAGAATTCAGTTGTGTTGATACAATTTGTAACAGTTGTAACCGTATTATCTCTAAAAAAGAGTGAAATCTGATACTATTCTTAGAGTACAGAAGCAGTCCAGTTCCACGTTCCATTGAACAGTAAAAGCAACATTTAGAATTAAAAAAAAAGAATAAGAATGTCACACGAACGTTTTAAGTCACTTCACTTCAGAATTCTTTCTTTCGCAGCAGCAGACGATTTAAGAAAGGGCAATTAAAATGATGAATAGTGTTCTTTTGTTTAAAGCACCTTTGAAAACAAATGTGTATTTCAAAGAACAGTAACCTTTTGAGGAAGTTATGTAGAATGTAATTTTAAGTGTCATATAGTATGAGAGACTAATTTTGGAATGAAAATAGTTGAACGTTTCATTAATGACTAGAGAGGTGTTTGATATCGAGTTATTTTTAATTAAAATGATTCGTTAAAATTCTTTTGAATCGAGTCACAAATCTAACAGGAAATAATGCGAAAGAAAATATCAAAAATGTACTTTATTCGCTATTTGTTACTATTGTTAGGCTAATAAATAATTCATATCGTTGAAAATAATGATTACTGATTCTAGAAGAATTATATATTTATTATAAAATAATTTAATTTTAATTTGCTTTCATTTGGTATTTGTAACTATTCTTAGACTAATAAATAATTCATATCTTTGAAAATAATGATTACTGATTCTAGAAGAATTATATATTTATTGTAAAATAATTTAATTTTATCCTGAATTATTCTTTAAATCTACATTAGATAGATAATAAATGAAAACTTAAGGGAATAGAAAGCATTTCCTTATACGTCTTCTGCATAAATTTTATTTTCTTAATTCTTAACATGTAAAGAGGAGCATAACTGTGTGCTAAATAAACTGTATATACATTTTTGTATAATTGTAATAAATAATAATAAATTGTATATTTTTTTTGTATAATTATAATAAATAATAATAAATAGTATATATTTTTGTTTGCTAAATAAATTGTATATATTTCTTTGTATAATTGTAATAAATAATAATAAATTATATATATTGTGTTAAATAAACTGTATATATTTCTTTGTATAATTGTAATAAATAATAATAAATTATATATATTGTGTTAAATAAATTGTATATATTTCTTTGTATAATTGTAATAAATAATAATAAATTATATATGTTGTGTTAAATAAATTTTATATATTTCTTTGTATAATTGTAATAAATAATAATAAATTGTATATAATTTTTTGTGTGTTAAATAAATTATATTCATTTTATTTAATTGTATAAATATTTTTCCAGAAATCATATATATTAAAAATGGGAAAAACTATAGATATTTGTTAGCTGTGTTAACTGTTAATGCTAATATAAATTAATGATTAATTTTAACTGTTAGAGTTAACACCTCTTAATTTTTTAACGTGTTTAGAGTATTTGCATGTATACTATACAATCAACACTATTAATTTGAATTTTAACATAGAATATATATATTGGGTGATCTACCAAGAGAAATATTCCTTTCTGTGTTACATTTTCTGTATCTAACAATTGCAATTTATTTTTAAATGGGCAAAAATAAATAAATAAATAAATTTCCTAATTCAATATGCCGGACTAAAATTATTAAATAAGAGAATATTGTTTTAGCTTCTTTTTAAAAAAATCTTTTATTAAAATATATATTATTTTTAGAACTGATTTGTTGTTAGAAAATTTTAATCACAATAAATGTGTTGGTTAATTAAATAAAATAAAATATTTATTTATAATTATAAAAAGATTATAGAAATTCTTAAAAAAAATTGATAAAGCAAGTAAGTTTTTGAATAAATGATTTTTTTTTTCATTTGTAATTATTAATAATTTTTTCTTAAATGCATTTCTGAAAAAATGGCAAGCATAAATTTATGAAAATAAAAATCATAATCGTAATCGCAAAAATCGATCTTACAGCGTACTCATTTTATTAATGGTCAATTAATAAAATTATTTTATTAATTGATTCTTATTATCCAATTATTTTATTAATGTTCGGATTCCACGTTAAACTGTAGGTCCCGGCCTAATTAGCCTAACGTGTGCACAAAATAATAATAGAGCGACAAACCAACTTTGATAGCCAATTGGCTAATGCTCTGGCCTTTGGTACCACAGGCTTCAGATTCGAATCTTGGAGGCGAGTGGTTCGGAAACCACCTTAAACTATAGGTCCCGGTTTAATTTGCTTAAAGTGTGCAAAAATTGACAAAAGAGCGACAATATTATTATTATTATTATTACCACAGTTAAGCATTCCAGTAATAACTGAGAATAAAAAGTATCAGTTCTAATAACTGAATAAAGGTTAAGATTTAAAGGTTATAAATTTTGCACCACATTTTGCAAAATGTGGTGCAAAATTTATATCCTTTAAAATCTTAACCTTCAT